CTCCTTTCCAGACTCCCTGCCAAGGGTAAACACTATCCTGATTTCTAACAGCATAGATTCATTTTTCCTGTTTTGAATTTTATACAAATTGAGACACACAATTATATTCCTTATGATTGAATGATATACTCATTAGTGTCTACTATCATTCACATTATGAATGTGAGATTCATCCATATTGTTACATATAGTTGCAGATAATTCATTCTCATTGTCATGTTGTATCCCATTATGTGAATATGCTCAAATATAATTTCTCCATTCTACTGTTGCTAGACATTTGGGTTGTTTGCAGCTTGGGGCTACTAGGAATAGTGCTATCTATTGGTGAACATATGTATGAATTTCTGTCAGGCATATACCTAGGAGCTGAACTCCCAGACCGTGATGTATCCATATATTCAGCTATACTTTATAAAACCAGTTTTCCAAAGTCACTATACCAATAAACGCTCCCACCAACACAGTATAAGAGTTCTAGGTGCTCCACATCCTTGTCAACACTTGGTATTTTCCATCTTTTTTACTATAGCCATTAATGGTGGGTGTATAGTGATATCCCAATGTGGTTTTAGTCTTTATTTCCTTGTCCTCCAAACCACTGTAGTGTCTCCCCAGGATAGACGAATGATATCCGAGACCTGAGACCTAGGCATGTTCCTCACGTGGCTGCACCATTTTACATTCTCACCATCAGTGTGTGAGGGCTCCAGATTCTCCACATCCTCACCAACTCTTGGTATTATCAGTCATTTTTTATTATAGCTATTCTAGTACATGTGAAGTGATATTAATTTTCATTGCCCTAATGATTAATGATACTGATCATCTTTTTTTGAGAATCTTTTATAAAGTATCTGTTCAATTATTTTGCCCAAGGCCAGGTGTGGTGGCTCACACCTGGAATCCCAGCACTCTGGGAGGCCAAGTCAAGAGGATCACTTGAGGCTGGAGTTCAAGACCAGCCTGGGCAACAATGTGAGACCGTCTCAAAAAAAAAAAAATCTTTTGCCTATTATTAATTGGGTTATTTATTTTCTTATTGTTGAACATTGAGAGGTTTTTTTATACTGAATATAAATCCATTATCAGTCCATTATCCTTGCAAAGACTTCCTCCCAGTCTATGGATTGTC